CAAGAAAACTACAGACCAATATCCCAGATGGACAAAAACGCAGAAATCCTCCACAAAGTACTATTAAAGTGCAATAGCACATTAAAAGGATCATACACCACAGCCAAGTGGGATACATCTCTGGAATGCAAGGATGGTTCAACATATGAAAATCAATGAATATGATGCATCACAATAACACAATGAAAAATGAAAAAACTCATGATCATCTCAACAGATGCAGAAAAGGCATATGGGAAAATTCAAGACCCTTTCATGATAAAAATTTTCAACAACTGAGAACAGAAGAAGATTACCTGAAAATAATGAAAGGCATATATAAGAAGCCTACAGCTAACATCTTATTCAAACCTAAAAAAATCAAAGCATTTTCTCTAAGATTAAGGACAAGGCAAAGAGATGGAGGAAACAAGATGGTGGCATAGGTGACTGCTATACCCGCCACCTTCTGCAACCACATCAAAATTACAACTAAAATACAGAACCACCATCACTCAGAACCTCCTGAGATCCAGCTGAACAGAAGCCCTACAACCAGGGAACTGAGGAAGCACCAAGAGTGGTAGAAGGGGAAGAGACACGGGCAGATCTGGGCTGAATCCTGGAGACTCAGCCGCGGGCCCCCACCTGGTGCGGCGGGTTAAACCCAGGAGAACATCTGGGTGGCGGAGGTTTCCTGGAGGAGGGAGGGGTCCCAGCTCCACAGCAGGCCCCCAGCCGAGGGCTCCAGGGCTGGGAAGAGAAGTCCCCACACCTTTGGGCTGTGAAACCAGCGGGACTGTCGCTGCGGAAGCCCCAGGCTTTCCTCTTAAAGGGCCCGCGCATGGACTCTCTCCGACGCACTCCCTCTGAGCCCAGCGCTGGGCAGCAGCTTGAAAGGACCTGGGACACTTGCAGGGGAACTAACCTGCCTGAAGTCAGGGTAAGAGCTGAAGGGACAGTTTTCTCTGAGGCAGGAGATCTGGCAGAGATCATTGCTCCTTTGGCAAGCCCTCCCCACACACAGCCAGCAGGCAGGCACCATATTTGAATCGCCACCACCTGATTCACACTTTTGGTCCCGCCCTGTGGTTCCCGGAGGCCCCGCCCCTCCCTACCTGAAAGCTCATCTAGGCCATTACCGGTGTCTTTTCTACGCAAGTGGCCTCTGGAGCCTAATGCTTAGGACTTTCCTAAAATCTCTCAGACAAGCAGCAGTGTGCCCCATACGGCTTGACCAGTGACCCCAGGCCTGGCACTAGCGGCAGCCTGCATTGGGTCATAGTTTGTTCTCTCCTGGACGTCAAGCCCAGCACAAGTAGCAGCCAACTATGGTTTGTTGTGTAGCTCATGCTGGGTGGCCCTGGGCAAGGCACTGGCAGAGGCTGACTTTGCACCTCCTGGGAGGCCCCAGAGACAGTGCACCTGGTGGTCAGACTCGACCATGCTGGATTACAACCCTACCACATGCACGACTGACACACTCAAGGGGCACACTTGGTGAACACCAAAGCTCCACTGAAGTAAATCCTGCTCCATAGGGGTGTCTCTAGCACAGCACCTCTTTGGCTGTAGTTGCAGCTGGTCCTCAGAGCTGATTGGTATGGGGGTAAATTCCTCCCAGTTACACCAACAGCAACCAAGTTTCAACTACAACAGGACAGTGCACACAGCCCACACAGGGGAGCACCTAGAAAGCCCAGCTCAGGTGACTGGGGAGGCTGACCCACTGGACCCTACATGACACCTTCTACAAAAAGCCACTCTNCCCACTGGACCCTACATGACACCTTCTACAAAAAGCCACTCTACAAATTCCAGGAGACATAGCTCTACCTAATACATAAAAACAAACACCTGGGAGCAGCCAAAATGTGGAGGCAAAGAAACATGTCACAAAGGAAAGAACAGAAGAAATCTCTAGAAGAGGAACGAAATGAAAGAGATTCAAGCAAGCTAACAGATATAGAGTTCAGAATTTTGTTTATAAGGATGTTCAACCATATTAGTAAGGGCTTTATGAAAATAACTGAGAATATTGATGACATAATAAAGTACCAATTTGAAATGAAGGTTACATGAACTGAAATGAATAATAATTTACAGGGAATCAACAGTAGAGTAGAGGACACTGAAAATCAAGTCAGCAAATTGGAACATGAGGAAACAAAAATGCTCAACCAGAAGAGCAAAAAGAAAAAAGATTCCAGAAATATGAAGATAGCATAAGGAGCCTCTGGGACAACTTCAAGAGGCCCAACATACGTATTATTAGGGTTACAGAGGGAGAGGAAAGAGAGCAAGAAATTGAAAACCTATTTGAAAAAATAATGACAGAAAACTTCCCCTACTTGGGGAAAGAAATAGACTTACAGGTAAAGGAAGCACAGAGGGTCCCAAACAAGAGGAACCCAAAGAGGCCCACAGCAAGACACCTCATCATTAAAATGCCAAAGGTTAAAGACAAAGAGAGAATCTTAAAAGCAGCAAGAGAAAAGCAGTTAGTTACCTACAAGGGAGCACCATATGACTGTTAGCTGATTTCTCAACAGAAACTTTGCAGGCCAGAAGAGAGTGGCAAGAAATATTCAAAGTGATGAAAAACATGGAACTACAACCAAGATTGCTCTACCCAGCAAAGCTATCATTTAGAACTGAAGGTCAGATAAAGAGCTTCTCAGACAAGGAAAAGCTAAAGGAGTTCATCACCACCAGACCAGCACTACAGGAAAAGATGAAGAGTCTTCTTTAAGAAGAAGCTAATGAACAAAAGAATCTGACCAACTAAATAGATCCAGAGACATTGACGCATGCAACAGACGATCATATTTCAGAGGAAAGGGGGGGCCATGGGGGAAGAGATTAACCAAAGAAGTTGTATGCATATATGCATAACCCATGGACACAGTCAATAACAGGGTGAAGACCTGGGGATGGGGTGGGAGCAAGGTGGAGGGGGTCAATTGGGGGAGGAAATGGGACACCTGTAATACTTTCAATAATAAATATAAATTTAAAAAAAAAAACAAGGCAGATATTCTCATCACTTCTACTCAACACTTTACTGATGTCCTAGCCATATCATTAAGCAACAAAAAGTAATAAAAGGTATCAAAATCAGTAAGAATGAAATAAAATTACCTCTGTTTATACATGACCAGATCTTATAATATAAATAATCCTCAAAACCACACCAAGAAAATTTTTAAACTAATAAACTCAGTCCATGTGCAACATACATATCAATATACAGAAAGCAGTTGTGTTGCTATACACTACTTCTAAGGGACTTATATCCAGAACACAACAAGAAGACAACAAATAATCCACTCAAAAATTGACAGTTTTTGAATAGACATTTCTCCAAGGATCATATTCAAGTGGTCAAGAAACATGAAAAGGTAATAATATCATTAGACATTAGGAAAAGATAAGTCAAAATCACAGTGAGATATGACTTCATCACCACTAGCTTGGCTATAATCTCAGAGAAAAATAATAAGTGTTGGCAAGGATGTAATTAAAACCATCACATTTGGTGGTGAAATGGAAAATGATGCATCTATCTTACAAAATAGTCTGCCAATTTCTCACTAAGGTTAAACATAGTTACCATATGGTGCAGCAGTTCCACTTCTAGGTATATACCCTGGAGAAAGGAAAACATGTTCACTCATAACTTGCATATGAATGTTAAAAGAAACCAACATTATTCATAGCGGCCAAAATTGGGGGATAAATGTCTATCAACTGATGCACGGATTTTTTAAATGTGGTTGTCTATACTGTGAAATATTATCTTACAATAAGAAGGGGTAAAATCATGACACATGCTACAATATGAATGAATACTTAAATTATTATGCTAAGTAAAAGAAGCCAGTCACAAAGGGCACATATTACATTATTCCATACAAGAAATCCTCCTTCTTTATAGAAACACAAACCAGGTTAATGCTTAGATAGGGTGTGGGGCGTAAGAGATTAGGGAGTTCCATGTAAAAGATAAAGGTTTCACTGGGGTATGAACATGCTCTTCATACGATCATCATGGTGGTAGCACAATTCTGTGATTACACTATGAACTATTAAACTGTACATTTTAAATTAATCAGTTGAATGGTGTGTGAATTACATGTTCACAAAGTTTTATTTAAAAAGTAAAATCTCGCCCAGCCGGGTGTGGCTCAGTGGCTGAGCGTCGACCTAGGATCCAGGCGATCGGGGTTCGATTCCCGGTCAGGGCACACACCCGGGTTGCAGGCTGCAGCCAATCAATGACTCTCTCATCATTGATGTTTCTATCTCTCTCTCTCCCTCTCCTTTACTCTCTCTGAAATCAATAAACATATATTAAAAAATAAAAATAAATAAAAACAAATAAAAAGTAAAATCCCAAAAAAAATAAAAAATAAAATCTCTTGGCCTGGCCGGTGTGGCTCAGTGGTTGAGCATCAACCTATGATGCAGGAGAACTCACTTTGATTCCCAGTCAGGGCACATGCCAGGACTGTGGGCTCCATCCCTAGTAGGGAGCATGCAGGAGGCAGCCGATCAGTGACTCACCATTATTAATGTTTCTCTCTCTCTCCTTCTCAGTTCCTCTCTCAGAAATCAATAAAACATATGTTTTAAAAATAAATAAAATCTCTTGAACGAGCATCCATGTAATTCTTTGTCAGCTATATAATAGCTTTATGTCCCTTTCTTCATGAGAAGAGATTACAGGCACAATCTCTTCTAAATTCCTTAGTTAACACATTCATCTATAATGTATTACAAAACGTAGGGGAATTGTAAAGATGACTCCTAGCTGGATGGTAGCACTTGTAGGCATTACACAGATTTGGATAAAAAGAAGGTCATCTATTTTATGATATTTTGACTTTCCATAAAATGTTCTGACTGTTCATGAAATGTATTTACTTTGAGGTGTAGCAGTTATATTTTAACTTTCTGATCAATTTCTCTTGGACATAAGCATGAACCATGGTAAAAGGGATCAGTCATTTGAAAAGAAACACTGCTCCACCAGGATGCCTACGAAGTGGATTTCCGTTCTGCTGCTGCTACAGCTGAGCTGTCACATTCGCCCTGGGTGGTGTGGAAAGGTGCTGGTGTGGCCCACAGAATATAGCCATTGGATGAATATGAAGACAATCCTGGATGAACTTGTCCACAGAGGCCATGAAGTGACTGTTCTGACATCTTCAGCTTCAATTCTTGTTGATCCCAATAAGGCATCTGCCATTAAGTTTGAAATTTTTCCTGCATCTTTAACAAAAGATGATTTTGAGGATGTTATCATGCAGCTGATCTCTAAATGGACATATATGCCAAAAGATACATTTTGGACTTATTTTTCACTAACACAAGATATGATTTTGGAATATTCTGATTATATTCGAAAGCTCTGTAAAGATGCAGTTTTAAACAAGAAACTTATGACAAAACTACAGGAATCAAGGTTTGATGTCGTTCTTGCAGACGCTGTTGGACCCTGTGGTGAGCTGCTGGCTGAACTACTTAAAAGACCTTTGGTGTACAGTCTCCGGGCCTTTCCTGGTTATAAAATTGAAAAGTATACTGGAGGACTTCCATTCCCTCCATCCTATGTACCAGTTGTCTTGTCAGAATTAAGTGATCAAATGACCTTCATGGAGAGGGTAAAAAATATGATATACGTGCTTTATTTTGACTTCTGGTTCCAAGCATTTAGAGAGAAGTGGGATCAGTTTTACAGTGAAGTACTAGGTAAGTCATGTCTTTACTTGGTAGTATAAACTCCTAACTTTCTTAGAGCCTTAAAAGGTGAGTATGCATAAGTATTAAGTCAGAGAAATTTGTCTTTTATAAGTAAATTATAAAATAAAATTATAAAATGATCTCATTCTCACAAATATAGAAATGCTTAAATCATAGTATCATTGGGGAATTGCTTCCTCTTATATGGTTTAGTTTGTTTTAAAAATTGAACTATTTTCCATGTTACTTGAAGGATTCTCTAGTAGAGAGAGAGAGTGCTCTATCCCAGACTCAGGAACCTATCATTTGAGGTTTCTAATGACTTCATATCCCTTCACTAAGTACTTACAACTCATCTGTTCAAACACTAAAATTTTCTTGAAGGGTGGATACGTAAGTCAGTAAACTGTACTTTGTGAAATCTCTCTCTTTATTAAAGACAAAATGAGCCAAAATTAAGAGTGAGCACATCTATTACCATGCTTTATGAAAATATTCCAGCTTTTATTTGCAAATATTTTTATTAATGCACAAGTATTTTTAAGCTCCTAAAATGAACCAAATGCACTTATAGTTCCAGGAATTGAGCCACACTCTCAAAACCTCAGGTTTGAGGAAATCTAAGATCAAGGGGATAGCTTGGTAAATTGCAGAAACTAGACTAAATAATCTAGGGAAAAGTCTTCCCATGGCCATAACAGAATTAATTTACTGAGGAGTTGAAGTCATTGCTTACATTTGCATCTGCTACTTTTGCAGCTTAACAGAGTAAACAAATGCATGTTTAATTCTATATTGGGTTAAGTTTAATCATTTTCTATGATTTGAATGTCTTGATGTGATGTTAAAGAAGACTCTTTATTGTTCATATATATAAACAAAATAATATTAAATATGTATATTATATAAATATGTTCTTGTTCTGAAACTACAGACACTTTAAACATCTTTGGCTACATTATTCCAAACTTTTTGTTTGTTTGTTTGTTTTTTTCAGAAAACTAAATGGTATATTTACATTACAATATTCTCATTTTCTCTAACTTTTGTTTGTTGGGTTTCTTCCCTTCAGGGAGACCCACCACATTATTTGAGTTAATGAGTAAAGCTGAAATATGGTTCATTCGAAGCTACTGGGATTTTGAGTTTCCTCGCCCGCTCTTGCCACATTTTGAATTTGTTGGAGGCCTCCACTGCAAACCGGCCAAACCTTTGCCTAAGGTAAACCTATCCATGTTTGTTTTACTTTGTTTACTTTGCATTTTCAGAAGGAATGATTCTGTGTTCTTCATTCAGAATGTCTTATCACACTGTGAGTAATATGGGAATCTGGGTAAAGTGACCTGCCAATTAGAAACTTAGATTTCTATACCGTTTCAAGAATCTGAATGACATTATCATGATGGAATAAAGAATTATACTTGGGAGACTTTGGAAATAGGGTCAGTTAAATTATGGTCTTCATTATTCAACACATAAAAAGGTATCACCCATTAATTCAAAGACTAATTTTAAAGTGACTAGCATCGTGCAAGGATAAGTAATAGATATGCACAGGAGAAGTGAACACACAGATTTTGGTCACACACATCAGGTATTCTACTTGGAAAGATATAATATAAGCAAGTAATAAGAATAGTGTGAAAAGAATTATAATAAAAATAAAACCTAAAGGTACAATAATGCTAGAGAACATCCCATGGTAATGGATCATAATCCTCTGGCATAATTAACCATAAGACATGTCTTATTTTTGTTCCCCTTCAACAACAAAAAATGTGTTATCTGTTCATGAACAAAAGTGCCTGTGTGGAAGTTTTGGGATCCAGCATCATATGCCAGGGGACCTTAGAAGAGTCTTACCCACCTGCGCATCGGGTAAGAGGCAGAAAGACTCCAGTACTGGCTGTGATACCTACAGGATGTTGAGAATTGGTTCCAGGCCTGCTAGCTGCAGCCTCGTAGCACCTACAGAGCCCTGACTTGGGCGGTCACCTGTGGATTAGGGAGCTCTTGTGGAAGTCCAGATTTCTAAAAGAGAAGTTCAGCACTCTGTTGGAGCACAAAATATATGAATTTAAAGGCACTGCTGTGGGTGAGAAGAAAGCTTGATTTTGCCAGCATCATTCCTCCTCCAAGTCAGCAAAGTTTAAGGCTAAAGAAGGCCTGTGATTTCTCCCACAGCAGATAGGGAGAGCCAGTGAGTGGATGCCGAGCTTTCCCGAATGTTCAGGATGCTTCTAAAGGGCTCATTTCTCTCTCACAGCATCCAGAGCACTAAACTGGGAGCGCAGTAACTGGCAAGAGGAAGCAGATCAGGAGAGTGGCATATAAGATTACCAGAGGGCGTTAAAGAGACAGGGTTCCGCCCGATTGCATCTGTACTCCATCAGGAAGCCTGACCACAAACCAGGAAGAAAACCTCTCTTACAGACTCTCCCAGCTGGCCTGAGGGCGCCAACAGTGAGCTGCATTCCAAACCCATACTTCCTGCCCTCTGTGGACAGCTCAGTGTACAAGCTGCCTAGGGCAGCAGCGAGAGCAAAATTTGATAGAAAGCTAGGGAGCAAGAGCAGATGCAGGACAGGGTTTGGCCAACCAGAGAAAGAAACCACAAACTTAAGCTGTAGCACCACCTTCAGGAGAAAACCGGGGAGGCTATCAGCATCTGGCCTGGTGCTTTATAGGATGGAGAGAAGACATAGGGGCTTAAGAATTCTCCCACAAGAGGGAGCAAGAAGCACAGAGCAGGCATATTCACACAAGGCCTGAAGAAGCCTTATCCAGGGCAGTACTGACAAGAGGTACTTCTACCCTGAAAGTAGTAAAGGTAAGTAGGTGACTGCTAATTCAAATGCAAAAACAGCAAAGCAAAACTCCAAAGAACATGAAAAACCCAGGAAACATTAGATTACCAAATACAATAATCCCCCAACAAGCAAACAGACATGGAGATATATGATTTACCCCATAAAAAATCGAAAATAGCTGTGATAAAGAAACTCAATGATCTTCAAGAAAACACAGAACCTTGTGCACTGTTGGTGGGAATGTAAAATCAATGCAATCACTATGAAAAACAGTATAGAGGTTTTCAAAGAAATTAAAATTCAGCTACCATTTGATTCAGAAATCCTACTTCTGGGTATATATCCAAAAGTAAGAAAAACAGGATATCAAAAATATATCCATAATCCCATATTTATGGTACCATTATTCAAAATAGCCAATAAATGAGAACAACTTAAGTGTGTGCCAAAAGATGAATGGGTAGAGATGTGAAATACACATACACACACACACTCATTAAAATAGTGTTCAGTCATGAGAAAGAAGGAAATCCTACCATTTGGGACAACATAGATGGACCATAAAGGCATTATGTTAAGTAACATATGTCACACTGAAAAAGGCAAATAATATATTATATCACTTATATGTGTAATCTAAAAAACGGCAAATTTATAGAAACAGAGAGTACAAAGGTGATTACCATGGACTGGTGGAAAGGGAATGGGTGGTTAAGAAGAAGTTTGTCAAGGTTACAAACTTGCAACTCAAAGATGATTAAGTTTAGGAGATATAGTGATTATATCCAGCAATACTCTATAATATACTTGGAAGTTTCTAGAGACTAGATCTTAAATATCCTCACCACACACACACAAAAAGATAATTATGTGACCTAACAGATGTGTTCACTAATGCTAAGGTAGTACTCATATTATAATATATAAATGAATCAATTCAACACACTGCATACCTTAAACTTACAGAATGTTATATGTCAACTATATCTTAATATTTTAAACAAAAGCTTGAAACAGTGATTAGAATGATAAAGTAAACATTTTATGTTAGAAGGGTTAGGTCATTATTTTCCAGAGAGAAAAAACAAGCAAGCAATTTAAAACAGAAAAATCAGGAGGGAAAAATAGGTGAGTATGAAGTTTGGGCCAGATATCCATGAAATTTTGGTTCCTTACATATTTGGGGGCAGGGCAAGGGATGGGTAGAAGGTACATTGAGCAATTTGGAATTTTTCTAGTACAAAAAGTAATAAAATTTAAAAACTGATAATGATCAGAAACTACAGTGAGAATAATTCGGAAACAATTCCAGATGAACATGACTTCACTAGGAACTTTATATACATTGAACTGAGCTACTCAAGAGGGTGACCAGATCTCGGCTGCAGAGAGCCCAGCTGTACCTCCCTCACTGTGGGGAAGGTGCTCCCCGAGAGACTCAGTGAGGTGATGACGAGGGCCTCTCACAGCCAGTTACACGTAGCACATTCTACTACAACATCCATTTCAGAACAAAAGGTATCATAAACAAGCCAGAAACATGGTCACTCAAATTAGTAACTATACAAGTACAATTCTGGATTACAAATAGGATTCTTAGGGCCATTTCATGGATATTCCAGACAGTAATACCAGACTCAGTGATTCTCCACTATATAAAAAGTGATGTAGGGAAAGAAGTCCAAGATGTCAGTATAAGAAGACCCTGAACTCACACCCTCCCATGAACACACAGACTATATAGCTACAGGTAGAGTATTTCCTCCTGAAAGAACAATTGAGGGTTTAATGAATAGCTTCTGCATAATAAATGAGAGAGACTGGATAAAGTTGAGAAACTGCAAGAACTCTCCAGGTTCTGGGGAAACTCTTTGGCATTGGAGGTGCCAGTGAGTGCAGATGTTTACATTCTCTTTCCACAGATAGCATGGGCAGGAATTCAATTCAAGTGCTGCATACCACCTGCAAGGCCACCACAGCATGCCCTAGGAAACTCACCCCAAACCCACTCCAGGCTCATAGAGTTTAACTGTCATGGCACTGCTCAAGCCACATGCCCCTGGCTGCCCCAAACCCAGCCAGCCAGCCTAGTAGGGTTCCCCTGGAGCTGTGCATCCTGGGGAAATTGGCCCATGTCTGTCTCAACTGTGGCTCAAGCAACCACTTCAACTCCAACCAGCCTGCCAAAGCCACATAGCACACATAGACTACACAGAAATCATACCTACACAAAGCCACTCCATCAAGCTCAGGGGAGTAGCTGTTTCATCTAATTCTTAGAAACAGACACAGAGAATAAAACAAATGAGGAAACAGCCATATGTCCCAAATGAAAGTACAAATAAAACCTCAGAGGGGAAAACACACTAAAGAAACAAAGATAAGTAATTTGCCTGATAAAATATTTAGTATAATGGTCATAAAGATGCTCACCAAACATGACAAAGAATAGAGGAACACAGTGAGAACATTAACAGAGTTACACAATGTTAAAAAAAGTCTGAACTAAAGAATACAATAATTAAAATGAAAACAATATGCTAGAGGAAATCAACAGCATAATAAAGAATGGAGAAGAATGGGGTAGCAACTTGGAGGACAGAATAATGAAAATCACCAATCAGAGCAACATAAAAAAGGGAAACATCTTTATAAAGAAGAATGGTTTAACAGACCTCTGGAACAACATCAAGAGTATGACCACTCACATTATAGGGGCCCCCGAAGGACAAGAGAGAGAGAAAGGGGCAGAGGAGCTACCTGAAATAATAATGTGTAAAAGCTTTCCTAACCTGGGGAAGTAAACAGGCGCCCACGTCCAGAAGGTTCTGAGAGTCAAAAAAAGATAAATCCAAAGAGATCTACAACAAGATATGTCATAATTCAAATGACAAAAGATAAAGAGATGACACTGAAGACAGCAAGAGAAAAACACAAGAGAAACCTCATAAAACTATTAGCTGACCTCTAAGGGAAAAGTTACAGGCCAGAAGGTAGTAGCAGAATATATTTAAAGTGCTAAAAGAATTGACCTACAACCAAGAATACTGTACCAGGCAAGGTTATCATCCAGTATTAAAGCAGAGATAAAGAATTTCCCAAACAAGCAAAAAATAAAGTTCATCACCAACAAACCAGCTTTACAAGAAATGCGAAAGGGCCTTCTTTAAGCAAAAAAACAAACAAACAAAAACCCCCCACAACAAACAATCAAACAAAAATGCCATAACCAGAAATAAGAAAGAAGCCTCACTGGTAAAAACAAATATGTAATAAACACAATGGATCAGCAATTTAAAACCTAGTATAAAGGTTCAAACACAAAAGTAGTAAATTAACTATAACTACAATAACTATTTAGCAGATACACAGCAATAAAAAGATGTAAAATATGATGTCAAAAACAAAATA